CACTGATGTTTCATACAGCCATTAGGATAAATAACGAAGTGTTTATGGTCCCTGTGCATTGTTCCTCTACTTATTCCTTACCCGCTGCCCTGAAAACTCTTGCAGGGCAAACACACAAGATGATACCAGGGTAAACTCACTGATGTGACACCTTTTTCCCTACCTTTCTGGGAAGGGGAGTTAAAGAAACATTAAAAATGGGGAGTAATAAGCTTGTTTGTGTCTTTCTCAATGGGACTGAAAAAAAACTGCAAGAGGAAACTGAATCAAGATTCAGGAATATAAAGGTACACACAGAGCATGGGGTGAAGCTGTAATATAATCAAAGTTTACATCTTCCAACATATATTTTAAAAGAGCAGTTCTTTCCACTACAGCTACTGTTCTAATGACAGTTAAAGAGAAAATGGGAAGCTTCAAACTGCATCCTGAGATAGGAACCCTCCATCTTTTGAAAAACATGCTGCAATGCAGACTAACCTTGCAATGTGGATCTTAAAAAGGGTAAAATCTTGGCCTTAAGATGACAGAGCTTTGGAAGACTTCCCTGTTTGCCCAAGATCACAAGTTGGGCTAAACTAGAAATCAGTCTATTTGGTCAAATATTACGCCACATCACAGCTTTCTGGAATATTTTTCTGTAAGTTCATTTGAAAAGTTCCAACTTTACAACTCTAAAGAGTCACAATACTGGTTTTAGTAAAAGAAACAAAGCTTCCTAAAACTTACATAGTTCCTATTAGTAAGTATTTGGAAAACTGCTGAATACCTACTGCAATGCACTAGAATTTGAAAAGCTGTGTTACTGCAGCAGGTACAGACACCTAAACATGGCATCTAAACATTTTAATTCCACTATAAGCACATAAAATGCAAGTACTTGGTTCTTTGCTATCAAAACACAGCACTGCGAGTACGAGGTTTATTTAGAGATGACAAGGACAAGAGAATTGGGGAGCTCTGAGACTTCTTTGACAATACAGAATAGTTTATAGAGGCCACAAATTGCTGTGGGGAGCACGTGCACATATGTATTTCTATGATTGACTGCACTATTGAAATGCCAAGACATCTTAGAAATCAGAACAATTTTTACTACCACAGCAACATCTGTGAAGGGCAGAATTCACCATGACTTCCTTCAGTTCCTAAATTAAGACGCACTAAGGATGGATATAGATTATGCACAGAAATACATCTAGACATACTATTTCTACTGCACCGATCTGCTCTCTTAAAAAAAGAAAACCCCACTTTTTTTTTTTGCCATATTTGGGAATCTAGTACTTTGGCTATAGAACCTGTACGTGAGATGCTGACATAATGATGAAACAAGATTTGTGATATAGGACTTTCAAGGGCTAAAGATGCTATTTTGAAGCACACAGTTTCAGTGGCTTTTCAGGATACTGCCCTTGCCCCTAAAGGTTTATAGTCAAGTGATTGTGCAGCTTGCTCTCCAACAGTTTGCACCAATAAAGCTGTACTACAGTAACTGTGAAGGTAGTACATAACTGTTAAGCCACCTTGTTTTAGGAAGCTGGATACTAGCTTTGCTGCCCTAACCTGTGGGCTTTTTTCTCCAGGAATCCAACTATCAGGTTACATTTTAACACCACCTTTTTAGTCACTAAGATGTTCTTACTTGCTAATTCTACCCGAGTGAAACAAGGGATATTTAAAATGTCTGTTAGTATCCTGAGTAGCAATTCAATATAGAGATGTTTGTTTAACATAGCGTTCATACAAACATTCAGATTTGACTTCCACGCTTGAGGGGGAAATACAGTTAAGGATGTTTCCATTTGAAATATCACTATCCTACCATATGAAGAAGTGTTTTTTTCATTTAGCATACTCCATGTACTACTTAGTGCTCAGTATAGCTAGATTAAAACGTTACTTAGCTTCATGTTCAGGAAAAACATACCTGCAATTCGGCTAGTTCAATTTCAAATATAGTACTAGTAATAAAAGAAGCCTGCAAAATTTTTACAATAAAATTGAGAATTCTGCTCTTATTCCAATATGTGATAGTGCCTTTTGTTATATGCCAAGATATGCATCATTACTGCAGAGTTCTATAGGAACGTGTTACTGATTAAGCAAACAAAAGACCTCAAGTAACATAATACCACCTTTTCTCTAGTACGTATAGAATCATAGAATAATTAGGGTTGGAAAGGACCTTAAGATCATCTAGTTCCAATCCCCCTGCCATGGGGGGGGACATCTCACACTAAACCAACTCACCCAAGGCTTCATCCAACCTGGCCTTGAACGCTAGCAGGGATGGAGCATTCACAACCTCCCTGGGCAACAGAGTATCTTACTGACAATACTCTATACCAGTTCAGAAAAAGATTTAGGGTGTTGTCAGTGTTCTCCTCAGAAAGTAGCTCTTTACCCTCCAGTCTTCAGTGCTAAAGCTAACCCCCAATCAAATGAAAATGAAAGCTTTAATAGCTGCAATGTGTAGGTACTACACAGCACATATGTAGGTGACGTGCTTTAAGCTATTCAAGAACAATTGTCAGAGTAGCCTTTCTTTGCTGCTGTTTTAGAAGCAGAGATTAAAATTACTTCCCATTAATTTTCACATATTTATTGCAGCCATTTGCATTTTAATGCTGAAACAGATCTGTCAGGTTCTTACATTGACAAACAGTTACACAGATATTAATGCAAGATGTCTTTTTCTTGTAGGAAAGAGCTGCTGATAAGAGCGATTGTCGTGGTTTAAACCCAGTCAGGTAATTCGTTCGCTCACTTCCCCCCCTTTCTTGCCCTCCCCCTGCTCTCGGAGGGACGGAGAGGAGAATCAAAAGAATGCAACTCCCACGGGTTGAGATAAGAACAGTTTAGTAACTAAGGTATAACACAAATCACTACTGCTACTACCAATAATAACAATGATAATAGAAATAACAAGGGAAGAGAATACAACACCTCACCACCAACCAACTGATAACTCGGCCCCCCAGTCCCCGACCAAGCACCGACCCATACCTCCTCCAACCCTGCCGTCTCCCAGCCCTTCCGGCTAACTCCCAGTTACATCCTGGGCATGACGTGCTGTGGTATGGAATAGCTCTTTGGTCAGTTTGGGTCAGGTGTCCTGTCCCTGCTTCCTCCCGGCTTCCCCTCCTCCCTGGCAGAGCATGAGGCTCACAAAGTCCTTGGCCAAACCAAAACATCCTTGTTATCAGCTCTGTTCCCGAGCTGAAAGTCAAAACACTGCACTGCACCAGCTACCAAGAAGGAGAAAAAATGACTGCTGCTGCTGAACCCAGGACACACATGAAACTCATTTTTCCACAGCATGTGTCATACCCACATGAAGGGAATGAGCACTAAATCATCTGTCTTGGTGTTCATGATCTCCTTCCCAGTGTTGCACAAGCTACTAGTATGTGTTGCTTTATACGTAACATGAACGAGAAACATTGTAGTACTGTATAGGTGTACTTTTTTGTGCCTGACGCCACTAGAGTGGTATTATTTTCAATTTATGAAGTTACCCTTTGAGAGTACTCAAAAGCTATAGCTAGGGCTGAACACAGCAGTTCTCCTAAAGAGATGAAATGGCTATAATCTATCAGCAGTTTTTGGCATTGTTCCCTGCAGTGCCTGCCTGGTTAGCTACTGATACAGTTCAAGGTGCTAGTTATGATTTTAAAAGGCCTAAATGGGACAGGATCCACTGATCTGAAAGACTGCCTTTACACCTATGCCTCAGAACAGACTGGCAGTCCTGTCTCTCTAGTCCAAGAAGGACTGATGTTACTCCCAGAGTTTAGACCGGCCTTATTTTAGGTATGTTTTTATTATAAAAAGGCAACATTAATGGCAACATGAAACAATGGCCATCTGTTCTCCAACAAGCTGTCTACCTATGGGCACTTGACCTGGGGTCTGCTGCATGTGCCACTCATCCCCCTTCAAGTCAGCTTTCCCCTCTCTGTCCCTCTCAATCTCTCCCATCCACAGGCACAGATATGTTTCTGCTTGCAGGAAGAGGTATGTGAACTTCAGAACTGTGATCCCTAAAAAGGCAGAGCTGCCATTTCTACTTATGATAGCGCCTTTGCATTCTTGTTGCTGAAGTTCGAGGACTTGCATGTATGCCAGATTTTCAATGCAAGCAGACTGAAATTCAGACTCATTATGCAGACACTTGGGGGAAAGCTGGAAGACATGTCTCTTGTCTCAGTTACTCAGTATTTTGTATCAGAAAAAGTGCTGAGACAACCGTCATGCATTAACAGACCAAAGAAATAATACACTCCCCATTGCAGAAAACTGACCCCTTTTTTCATTATCATCTTTTTTGCCTCAGCATGGCAACACAGACGACCAAGACATCTTGATGAGTATGCCAAGACGGGAAATTGTTCATGCTAAAGTAGTGTTAAAAGTAGAAATCCACAAAACAAGCCCAAAAGAAGTTAGTGTAGTTATATACATGGTGTCAGAAGATAAAGAAGGTATGTTCTTCTAACACCAGTTAAAAGGACAAACAGACAAAAAAAAGGTAACACCTATGGTTTGGTTTTTTACTTGTAATTAATTTCTCTTCCTTGCCTGTGGTGGTATGTGACAGTCAGCAATACCTGGACAGAAAGAAAGTCTGACATTTGTGCCTTCTACAGGACTCCATGAACAACAGACATTATTGAACCACAATAACTTTGCCTAATAGCCATATATATCTACTCTTTATTTTAAATGATGATGCACCACTGAGGACAGAGGCCAGTTAAGGCTAAGTAATAGCTCTGATTTGCACAGCTTATAGAATGGGTAACTACTACCTTGCTCAGACTACATTGAATGGTGACTACAGATTGGATGACCTCTCTCATGTAAAAGCTTTTAGCAATTATTTTCCTTTTGCTTAGAAATATAAATTATGAACAGACTCCTTCTCCCAAGTACATTAAAGAAAAAAAAAAAAACACACACACCCAAAACTGGATTAGCAAATACAATGCATTTACCTGTCATGTTGCAGTAAACTCTCAAAGGTCCCAGTGCCCCACTGCCATCTGGATCTATCCAGTAGTAATTCGAAGTTTTGCCCAAGTGTTTGTATGCTTCACAAGAGAGTTCATGAATGGCTGGAATGAAATAAACCACAACAATAAGTATCTTCATATCCTGGAGCAAAAAATCCATAATGACAATGAACTGTCTTTATTTATATAACAAGAACTATACCCTTGAGATTAAAGTAATGTCACTGACATTCACAGCCAACAAAGCATCTCTCCAAAAGAAACACGAGTGATTAAAAGCTTGAGGCACACAATTTGATTCTTTTGGCGTGTGACAGAAAGCCAGAGTAGGAGGAGAATTCCAATAACTTGGCTGGGGGAGAGGGTGGGTGGGAGGGGGAGGAACAACCAAACTTTAACAGTATCTTTAAACCATTCTTGAAAATATTTCGGTTCAGAACTTTGTTTATACAGTGGTTTAAGCTTTACATCATGAATGGCGACACTTCCGTTAACACAATATACTTTCAGGAGATACACCAAAAAAGCTTCCCAGTTTTCTTTCTGTAAATTTTAGGATTTTTCAGGTTTTATTACAACTCAGAATAACATCAAGTTTCAAAACCAAAATTTCTCACTATATGGAATACTTGTCTCTACACAGCTCTACAGCTCCCCTTTTATTGATCTACATAAATAATACTCTGCTCCAGCAAGGTCTAAACTTTCACCCTATTTACTGGAAGTTTAATTGCTTTAGCAGGGAGTTTTCCTTCTATTTTTTCCTTGACCTCTCCATACTGTTTTTTATTTCAGGTCATAAAACTGCTTGTCAAATTGTGTTACGATTAATAGCTCCAGCATGGTAATAAGCATTATAGGTGGAAGTTTTTCTAGTAACTCTAATATTCTCATTGAAACAGATGACTATTACAAAGTTGCGTATTATACATGAATGAATTAAATCATTTCAGGCATAGGAAAAGTAAAACGGGTAGTTTATACAAGTTGGCATGTTTGTATACATATAACTGGTAAACTACGTAAATATTTTTCTATGCAGTATTTAAGAGGAGGAATGTGTAATGCTGCTTTGTTTTCCAAGGAACAGATGGTGCAGCTTTTTTGTTTGGAATCAATCAATCAGCTGCTAAAGGAAATGCAATGTTTGTTTAACCAGACTTCATATCCACTCTAAAACTCCATCTAATTTGTTGGCAAGTCTTGCAAGCAATCTCCTGGCTAAGACTGGCTTTATTTCAAATGTCCATAAGGATGAGCTGATTCACTGGGCTCTGATGAGCGACTGATCACACACAAACACACGCATGCATTTAGAGGCCTCTAACTATAAAGATGCAGGAGGAAAAGCGGAGCTAAAAAAGTCTCCAATTCAGATGTGGCATGAATACAAAGCTAAAAACTGTTATTGCATATAAAGCAATAACCTTGTTGATGCTACAAGAGAAAGAATTTCCTGGAAGGTTTTGTGTTCATTACAGGGTCTAAAGTCACTTGTATACATAAAGTAGACATTGTTAGACACTTTAATTGTGAAATATTCCAAGCCATTTCCCCTTCCTCCCCAAACTAAACAAATTGCTTCAGTATCAAGGAAACTCTTTGCCTGTTTTCAGACACTTCATGCAGATTTCCTAAGGGATTCAGAACCAATTTTCTTTTGAAATATTTCTCTAACTCTCTCCATGCTACCTAAATACAATCACAGAATACCAGCCCTGTTCATGTACAGTTGTAGTGATAGCAAATCTCAAATTTTACCAGATGCATTACAGATGACAAATACTGTTTATGATCTCCCAAAAGTTCTGCTCTTTTCATTTTCTAAACTCTTTCAGAAAGTCAAGGGAATTTTGTCTCTGAAGTATCCACATCTTTACATAGAGCCATGTGACTCTAGGTTTGCTCTTTTCAAGAGGACAGGACAATATTTATACGGAGATACTGCCACAGTTCCGAGATAAGTGTTCTATGGAAGACAACACCAAGTTACACTGGTTAATCAGATACTCATTTATCCCTACTGAGTATTTTTTTAAGGAAGTTAAAGGGTTTAGATACAACATTCTTCCTTTGGTTTTCCTGGAATGGGAAAAGGAAAGCACAGTAGGTAGTTATCAGAATTACAGCACAGAACAGGCTGCTTTTGAATATCAGCATTTGCTAAGCTTCAATGTTATGTCAAAGACCAAACTGTAAAAATGCCTCAAGTAAAGACAGAAGAGTGAAATAGTCTACATTCAACTTGTGAAATGCCAGGAGCGTGTGATAGGGTTTGGAAAGGTTTTATCCATATGCAGTTGCATACTTAAGGAGCATAAAAATGCAAGGAAATGAATGGATGGGTTCTAGCTCAAGGACAGAAATCACTTCACAGGAGTATAGGGACAAAATGAAGGGATAAGTGAAGTTGGTATACTGACAGAATAACTGGTGATCAAGATGCAGTAAGAAAACAGTGAACAATCATGTTCTGGTGTATGAAGACACTTGATGACAGAAAGAGAACTTTCTGTTAACTTCAGATGGCAAACGGTAGCCCCTAACTGAACCAGCAGAACAAAAGCGGCAAATTGCAAGCAGAGAAGGCAGCAGCAAAAGGGACGACAGTAAGACATGATAGCAAGACGTCACAGGTGTAGAACATGACATAGAAAGGGAGACAACACAGGATGACCTTTTAATTCAATACTCCTTTTTAATGGGCTTTTGAAACGCGCATGAAATGTTCAGTCATGTGTAAGACACATGAACAGGTGAAAACAGAAATTATGAAACCCAAAGAACACCTAGAATAGATGAAAAGATAAAAAACATTGTTTTAGAAGTCACCTGGGAACATTAAAATACAAAATAAAAGGAAAACAGAATACAACAACAAGGAAGAGTCCACCACAAATATCAAAGTTGATAAAGGTTACAATAAACAAGCAAAAGATTTAACAAAGCCAAGAAATTAAAAGTAAATGAAATGCAAGATCTGGATATAAAGTCTACAGTGCTCATATATGAATAAGGAGAAATGGTTACATATCTCTACACATGGAGAAGGAGGCAGAGAAATATAGAGAAAGGTCTTTTAGTGCTGACTTCTGGAAGATGGGAAAATCTCCACATAATTGAAGGACTGAAGATACAAGGGCAATAGATCTCCGCTTTTCAAGCCAGCAGAAGTAAAATGCCAAAGTGTATTTGCTTTCTTGGTAGTTGGTCCAAACACACAATGTATATACTTCAAGGAACTTCCAGAGTGTTAAACCTCAAAATCTTCCAAAAGTAAAACTCACATTTGCCTTGATGTCCAGATAAGCCCTTTCTAGCATAATACATCCAGAATGGCTTCCTCACTCTTAACTTGACATGCTGTCACACTGCACTGCTGTCTACAGCAAGGTGGCTATTGAGAGGTGAAAACTTCGCCGGAACAGTGATCCAATGTCTTACGGTCAGGTAAAAATCACATGCGAAAAGAATCAAAACCAGAAAGAGCTTAATAAAAATGCTATAGTCTTTTTAAAGTTTAATCACCTGAATAATACAGCTCAAGCAGAGACAACCAAATCCATTTTATGCTAAAATCTAAAAGGGCTTGTGTTGTAACATAAGGTAAAATGTTTAAAAAGACCCTCCAACATGAATTAACTTTTGATGTGAAACATTAAGCTTCTTAGTCTGGGCAGAAAAATCCAGTCATTTTAATCAGCTGACAAAGGCAACTATGAATGCATTTTGAAGTTCACATTGACTAAGATAACAGCCACAACAGTGGGCTTGAGAAGTTTCTGTTAGTAAAGATTGACTCAGGAAGCAGATTAAGGGAGAACAGCTTAGAGTGAAACAAAACCTAGCAAAGGCCCTTGTAACCAGGCAGACCTTAACCGCATTTTCATTTCGCATTTCTTCACAGGTTGTTTTCCACTCCTGCAGCTTACCTGAACCCCAAACTGGAGGTGCCTATGGGCTGAGGAAGACACTCATTTATGAGTTTCTAGGATCCTCCATTTTAAACACTTGAAGCAAATGGTTCAGAAAACCAGTTTTACAGAATAGGTTTTCCTAGCTCCAGACTGTTAGGGTTGGGAAAAGTCAGCTTCTGTTAGAGCTGAGTGGCTCTTTGCTGAGGGAAGCAGATGTTCTCACTCCTGTTTCACTTTCTGACTTGCATAAAGATCAAGAGAGTTATCCCACACAGGTGGTACAGCTGCTGGCAATCTCTAGAAGCCAGAAGAGTCAAATGACAAAAAGGATTTATCAACTCTCTTATCCTATATGATGTTCCCATAGAGTTTCAGTAGCATCTCTGTGAACTACAGTTTCTGCATCACTATATAAGAGGGCAGCTTTAAATATAGGGCTGACAAATAGCCTCCTTTTACAAGTCCAAAACTCATTACAAATAGAAGACCTAGCATGACAGTCTGCACTGTGTGACACAATGAATGTGTTATGTTTTGATTCCATCAGTGAATGTGTCTCTGCAGGGAATACAGTCCTTTATACTGCTCCTAATACAGGAGTAAATCTCAGCTTTACAGGGGCATAGGAAAGGTGCAGATTCCCAGGAACTGATGGAATTAAATGATGGTAAAAGTAACAAAGTAGGCACTACATCAGAGCCACAAAGTCCAGCTACACCTCTCCATCACTTTCAACTTCCCCGAAAAAACCTGAAAGCTAAATAGACTGTGAGGTGCTTGGGTTTATACCACTCAAGCTGCTTTCAACTCCTCAGCCCCTTAAAAAGGGCTGAAAGCACAAACAGACTAGGAAGGGGGAAGAAACCCCCAACCTTCTCAAGAAATAGCTGCACACCACAATGCCATACCTGTAGTTGATTTTAAAAGGATGTTGCTTTATTGCAATATATATTCAGATCATCTCTTGCAAAACTGAAAATGTTAATATACATACACTGTAAGCTTCTGCTCTGCCAATGGCAGTCTGTCTGCGCAACAAACCTACCCCTACCCTCATGCATTCCAATGCTGTATGGTGGAGAAATGTCACCATTTTTTAAAGTAGGTTAAGTGAACTAGAAATCTCACCATGACTCAAGGTTCCATATGAGAACAAAACGCCTTCTGAATTCCATATCTGCATTC